GGCGGCTGAGGGAAGGAAAGAAACACGAATGGCATTCCATGAAGCTATCCTATATTCTGTGTTTAATCGAATCTTGGCTCTTTTGGTTACCGGTTTGGTAGCGGTTATGTCCACAAACAGCTCATCAAAACCTCCGTTCACCTTATCCACATTGCCAGGAAATGTCTGTAAGAATGACATTGTTTCACGCAGATTACTCACAAAAATAAGTCAACAATAAGGCATTTTGGTCATATAAACAAGAAATTTGGGAGTAAACCATTTTTTAAAAAAGTCTAGCCTAATTATAAATAAGTCCGAGCTGTTTGCTTCAAGGGGATGCTGATTCAATTGCTGAAGCATAAATAAGTAGTATATGTCTAGCCAACTGCATTCAAACACATTGGAAAAGTTAACAGAATCTCTGTAAGCCTACTGGTCTTACAGGTATACGCCGCTTTCGTAATCCACTGGGATGGAAGTTATCTTGGTTTTTTTGGGGTGCATACACCTGCTTACACGGCTGTGCCGAACTCTGGATCACCACCTGCATAAAATTCTCCTTTTCGGCATTTCGCTGCCGATTTTTTCGAAACTGAATAAATCATAAGAGACTTCACTCACTGCAAGCACACCAAGCACACTAGACTGGTGATAAAAATAGAGCGAAGTCACATAATCCGGCCGGATTAAGTTTTTGCCTATTGTTAGGAACAGACTTAGTTCCTCGGACCGACGGTAGGAGTAATAATTGGGGATTTTCAAATGTTTGGTGATTACACAATTGAGGTAACCTCGTGGATGTGATTTGAACTAAGGGTGTTTCTTGAACCAAGTATAACTCCTTGACAAAGCGGGAAAAGCCAAATTCTCATCAAATTCGGGACAGGTGCGGGAACACAACGCACCAGCCAAAAGAATTGGGTAAAATTACTTAAATTTAGATCCTGTTTAGAAAGCCCCTCTAATTTTGAGACTATTTGGAATTACTAGAGATAAATGAATTAAAAATAATTTTGGGGAGTAAGTGGAGGACCAAGTAGGCTCAGAGTTTTCGCCTCATAGGCACAAGCTATCACGACTTTAGAGCTGCGGTTGTCAGTTGAGTGTGTGTGCTTCTCAAGCCGAGGTCAACTCTGTCAGAGAGCTACAGGCGTCAGTTTTGAGTCGGATTACTTGATTAACTTTCAGAGAAGCTTTGATAGCGGAATGCTTTAAAATGCTATTTTAATGATGAATCACTCAGTGACAGGTGCATCACTTACAAATTCCCTTGGTCTCCTTTGATCTGGTAAAATAACTAGATATTAGCATGGCAACAATGCAAAATGCAAGTGGAAGGAGTCATGGGGAAACGCAAAATCCCCAATGGCAGGTATAGTTAGCTGTGGGATTAATGCAACCCACTTTTTCCCCCATGTCTTCCCCAAGTTGGCCGGGGCGATTACCACCTTGTCCTAGCATCAGACAATCATATGAAAAGTGGAGGACACGTTTAGGCGATTAAGGCGAGATAACAATAAAAAGGGCAAAAGCTGGATTTATCTTGACAGTTGGAGAAAATTTTCACGATTTTGTGCAAAAAGGATACTTACAAACTCGTCCTTCTTTGGAGGAGAGTAATGCGTTGTTCAGTGGCAATCTGTCTTTAACTACCTCTGGCTTGTATATACGCTTTCTATAAATAAGGCTTAGATATTCGAGTTTTTTTCTCACCCACTACTCCTAATTTTGAGTATTCCTGGAAAAATTAATGACGATATCAAGTTTAGGAACGAGACCAGCGTTTTCTACAAGACTTCCACCAAGATCCACTTTCGGGGTCACTATTCTCCTTTTTAACCTTTGCACTCCCTTCATATCAACTTTTTTTTATTATTTAATTAGGAATAGATTTTAGAAAAACTATTGTTTGTTATATTTTGGGTTTTAAACCTATACGCTAATTTCAAAAATTCCCTTCCAAGTGTCTCAGATATACATTTAATCACTTCAAAACGGCCCCTATTTAAAAAAATGTCGGCAATATTAAGGATTTTTCTCGTTTTGAAGTTTTTTAAAGGAAGCATGTTTTCTTATTTCCACAGATTAATCTACAAAGTAAATAAATTTTACTCATGAGGTGTATGTTACTGATATTGTAAAACAGTAGGTTGTCAAAATAATCTTATTCATGGGAAGAAAATTATCCCCTTGTATAGCTTACCCATAGGTAGCCAGGTTAACAGTTTATTCAAAGTGTACTTTCTTGTAAAATAAATAAATTAAGCATCTAGATAGACTTTTTTAAAATATAATCATTTGCACAGGAAATGGTGCCACTCAACCGACTATACAAAGAAAGCCTTGTTCGTTTGAGAAGATAAACAAATAAAAAAGTTTTTTTAGTGATCACACGTTAAAAATTTGCTAAAATGAATAAAAACGCCATACTCCATGCAACAATGCACTCCTTTTTTTTGCTGGAAATGTTCGCGTTTAAAGGTAACAATCTTTATGGAGATTAAATGGAAAACAAGCATGCCTAACTGCGTAGGTTGAAGCGCTCACGAGTCAGACTTGTTTTTTGTTGTCAAAAAACTTTAAAACTAATTAAATAAATACAAAATAAAAACTCAAGCGTAGGGTTCTGATAAGGTCGCCTCTGATTGGATGGTTGGGTGCGCTCTATCTGATTCGCTCTGCTGCCCTGTGTAATTGTTTGATGGGCAATTCCCGTCGTTTAGTGGTTACCCTACGCCCACTTACGCACACACGCACACGCAGTCGCACACACACATCCACACACACACACACACACAAAGCTACACAGACTAATGATTTAGGGCATACTTTTGCCTATCCATGTGAGGCATGAGTACAAACGGTACAGAAGTGAGCCTCTCCAACGATCTACCCCGACTCCTGAAATGCTCCGTTGGCGTGGTCGTCACCTTTGGCATTATTTTTGCAAATCTAATCATCATTATTGCTCTGCTACACTCTAGGAAGTACCTCTCCAGACAAACCCGAATTTTCCTCCTTAATGTCGCTCTAGTCGACTTTCTCACCGGGCTTTGTATTGTACCCCCGCTCACCGTGGTGGAGATATCCAACAATGCCAACTCCTACGCCAAGTTCTTTTACCTCTATTGGCTCACAGTTGGAGGATTATTGGTTAATGCTCGTGTTCTTGCACTCGTAGTTGTGGCGTTGGACAGGTATCTTGCCATCTGCCATCCCATACGCTATCCAGATCTACTTGCTTTCTCACGAGCTCGATTAAGTCTAATGCTGTCGTGGGGCCTGGCTTTTGCTATGGCTCTGCCTCAGCTAGTCGTCTTCTCAACCGAACTTGTCCAACAACCACAAAATACAACGGAGATAACACACCAGCCTCATGATTGGACCTACACTACCTCTCCTGTGCTCCGTGGAATACTTGTATTCATGTTTTTCCTCCGCTTTGTTTTCCCTCTTACGTTAATGCTTGTGATAAGCATTCTGGCCTTTCGAGTCGCCATTGAATCCAATGAAGGATTTCGAAATGGCGTCTTGAAAGTCAAGGAGCCGGATGTTCAAAGTAATAATGAGGAAAAGCCACCCAAAAGCTCTAATCACCCACACCGGCGCCACGGCTTAGCGCCTAATAAGATTACTTTAATGCGGATTCACCGAGGAAATTATATGGCGGAGGGTACAAAGGATTTATTTGCCCAGCTTCCAGGTACACACAGGTCGTTGAGTCGACGTACTGCCCTCCTACCCAACGTAAGTCTTGGTGGATCTCATTCCTCAGGGCACCCCTTTGATCCCAGTCGGTCATTATCACGGACTACCAGTGCACCTACTCACTCAAAAGTTCAGGAGACGTCCAGAGAAAATACCTCTGGTACGAGTACTGCGCGTAAAGCAGCCAACTCGGATGTATCCTTAAATCCTGACAGTGAAAGGACAGGAGAAAGTGAGAACACTAGCACGGAGTCCCAATCCAATCAGAGAGTCGCGTGGTGGCGATCAACACGATCACACACTCCCAGTTTTGGATTTAAATTTCCCCATAAAAAGTTAAAAGGCCTCGGTTCAATGATTCCCCTTACAACGCTCCTCGTTGCGCTCCTCATTTTCAGCCTTCCATACCAAATTCTACGGGTGTTAAAGGCCCTGTGGTTTCCACTGGACCTGCCAAACGAAGTGTTTGCACACCTCTTTTGGCTGGCCTGTACCAATGCCCTCATTAATCCTGTGATATTGACATTCTGGTCCTCGGCATGTCGAGCTAAGGTCCTTCACCTCATCTCCTGTGGTCGATTCCGTCACAATCAGGCGGCTATCAAGAGGCTGATAATTGCCAGCTTTGGAACTGCCAATCTGCCTTATGGACGGCAAGTGCATCCACAGATGCTAAGTGATTAAGTCAGTGAGTGCAATGGGCCTGCCCAATTTACAGAAGATGATTTATTTCTCCTGTTATTGCACTTTTCTACATGCCATTTAAATTAATTGATGTAATGTTTGAGTTCCTCTGTCATTCTAGTTGACGACGAATTGGGTGAGAGGGGTGAAGGAAGCCACACCTAGCTTCCACTTTTATTTGTAAAAGTCCTCCTTATTCATGATTCCCTTGGGACAAAGAAAATTTCTCCATCTCAATCCATACCTCTTGTTACATCGCCCCATCAGAGAGTGTTTTTGGCATTTCTTTAATTTTGTTATCGTTTTTTTTTCTCTCTTTGTGTGTTTGTATGTGTCTAGACAAGATTGGCGTTTTAAGATTTTTTTTTATACACCTTGAGGCTGTCTTTTTGCGTTCGAGCCCCAATCGTCTTCGTGTAACCTCAAATGACATTCAGGGAGGGCGCTTTTGGGAAGAAAAAAAAGTAACACCACACTATCACCTATGCCATTTTATTTTAGAGGTTAAGTAAGTACACAACAAGCTTTTAACATGACGGTAAATATTTCTGAATTCTAAGGTCAGGCTCATATTCTCTTTTAACCATCGGTTTTCGTGTCATAAGTGTCGAGGCGGAGGAGGGGAGGGGATGCATATGCCTGCCCACTTAAAACGTCCGGAGGAATTTCAAAGCCTCTAACATGGTGGCGGATACGTCGTAATACCCATTGTAAAACAGAGTGTCAAAGTTTATTTTTTTTTCCTCGTCAAGAATGTTGCCACTTGTTTGTCACTTTGTTTTTACTATAACTGGGGGAGGAGGACGAGGAAAAACTAAAGTTGGTTGCATTGGCCAGCACGGAAAGACATATCAAGCAATTTAAAAGGCTTTTATTCTTGTCCAGTTGCAGTCCATGGCGCTTTTTGTTGTTCAAATTCACCTTTTATATTTCTTCTTTACCTTAGAGAATTATTATTTTATTAGGCTACTAGATTTTGGAGGAGGCAAATGAAGGAATGCCGCATGAAATCCAATTTAAGAGCCATTAAATGTGTCTCTAAAATTCCAAAATACTAACCAGGTCTTTTGAGATGACTCTTCTGAAGAAATTCCACCCATCTGTCGATTAGGTAGATCTTGTGTATGCGTGTGACCTTTTGACCTCTATGTGGGCAGTTAGACAGAGTCGGAGTTCAATCCTCTACTCTTACATCAGGATGTGAGGCTTCTTTCAGCCTTGTTTTCATTCTATAGTGAAATTTTTCTGCCTATTCACATCTTATTTTACTATGGGATTCTCAGAAAGGCAATTTTGATTTTATCTACCTTTTTTCTTTTTCTTGCTATCCTCGTATTTGTGACATGACCTTTACGAGTAGAAAATTTAAAATCCTACCTTTAGGTGAGATTTATGAAGTGAGGAAAGATTTTTTTAATCCGTGACTTACCTCGCAAGATCAGACTGCCCATCATCACTTGCGTAGCCTGAAGCATGCATTACCGCTTCAGCGGGAGTTTAAATGTCAACCCACCTGTCAGAGTTTACACTCCGTTTATCCACTCTTTTATAAAATATGGGAAAAAAAAAGATTTCATGAACTAATAACTAGGCCGCACCTAACAGGCAATCGACATGTCAAAGGAATTGGATGGAAATGGCAAATTAGGTATTGGTATTGTAACTATTGTACCAATATGACAGACATTTCGTGATACAAGTGCCCCAGTGGACACGCCAGGAGCAGTCTGAAACGGATTTAGCGAAATGCTCGACAGGTTGGGGCAAAAAAACCAAAACTGACACGCAAATTAACTGCTTGTTACTTTACTTGATTGACTGACAGCTCCTAACTGTCCATCGTGTACGGAGTGTTGCCTACTGAGCATTGTGCGGTTCATTCTTCCACTTAGTGACAATTAGTCTTGGATCTGTTTTTCTTTAATTTGTTTTTTTTTTGCATGATCTTCCACCCCTAGAGGCAACATAGCGTGACCGTCTGATTTGACAGCAAAACGCTTTTGTTTTGTTGAAATAGGGATCATATCCCCAACACCACTTTTGACAAGCCACACAGTTGTTTTGAGTGGATGTCCCCTTGCCAGTCTACGGTGACTACTGGTTTTACCAATTAATTCATAACGATTAAGTTCTTGTAGGTCCTCTTTTGTGGACACTCCGCTGACGAGCCTTTGTTATAAAAATGTGTTAAGAAATGGGGTAGTAATTGACTAAACAAATATTTTTTGATCGCAAAAAACTTTTAACCCTTGTCTGACAGCCTGGAAATCGCTACCACACTCAGCCGGAGGGTGAAATAAATTTCGGGGTCCCAGAATTAGTTTAGAGGAGTAAACGAATACCTCTTCCTCCCTTTAACCATTCCTTAACACCCCCCCGTTTGCCCCCTTCCTCCCCCCGAAAATCGCATTCCATGTGAGTCTGGGCAGAGGAGGTACCGAGATGATGACCAAAGCCTAGTGATCAGTCTTGAAGGAAAATAATTTGCTTTGTGCTCTTACACCAACATCAAATTTCATCCGTCCTTGGTGAATAGCTTCAACTCTTCCATACCCATGCACTTTTCAAACGGGTCCTTTATGCTTTTTCCTTTTTTCTCCTTTCATTTACGAGGCATACAAAATATTCGGTAGCTAGCAATGATCCGTCACTTGGATTTCCAAATTCACCTTGAATATTTTGCAATGGGAAAGAGTTTTTAGTTTACAAATTCACATTTTTCTCTTGGAAATCACTACCACAGTGCATTTAAACAAAGCTTTTCTCATATTTCAATGTATGAAGGGAATAGGTGTGGAAAGGATTGCTTAATTCTTTTTTTTAGAAAAATTAAAGCATAAAGGAAAAATTTGTGCACGTTTTTTGTCAGTCGTGGCTTAATAGATCCTCCCTTTTCCGTCTTTCCCCACATCCCTATCGAAATCACATCTGTTTATGGGTGAACAAATTAGAATGTAGGAAAAAATTGCAAATCTTTTCTTTTGTTTGCCTTTAAAACTTTCATCCTCTTAATTTATCGCAAATTTGTAGACTTAAAGTGAAATGCAGCATTTTAATTGGTAAATTGTGTAGGAGGGATTTGTGATTGGAGCGAAAGGGGAAAAAAGGGGTATACCTTGGTGCGAGAATCCCTTATTTATCACAGAAATCTAAATGACCTTCTGTTCAGAAAAGGTCCTCTTAATCGAAAGGTTCCTCTCATAAAAGTTGCACTTCCAAGATGAGGCAGAGCTTGGAGGTAAAGGTTGAGGCGCGATCATGTCAAAGATATGTCATCCAAATTGGAGGAATTAGGAATTTGCAGCTTTTTTAGCATTTTTGGGCGAAAATACTCGCTAAATAATCTTTCATCCAGAAAAAATGGGGATTAAAATTATTGCTTATTTATTTATTTTATTCCAGAAATGACAACCAAAGTCAAATTTAATGGACCAATTGAGCATCTTCTCGGAGCATTCGTGATCATTCAATCACCTTTCTGTGTGTTGCACGACTACTACGGAGCTACGGAGGTCAATTGTATACCGGTTTTGTTTTCATAATTTAAGAAAATATATGTATACACACAAGTAAGCTGTGGTAGTTGGAATTTGAGCGCATTTGTAGGTAGCTTTATCCTCCTGCTTATCTAAAATCACAATCCTACTAGTTTTGTCACCGACCTGTAGACATGCGCCTCCAGATACTATCCTAAATGGTCCGCCTGGAAATTGGGTGGAGTAGGCGGCGAACCTGTTGTCCGGAACATACTTATCGTTGGTAGTAAAAGGGATAAAAAGAATGGAAAGTTAGTAGGCTGTCGAACTAAACAGCAGAGAGCGAGAAGCCCATGTAAACAAGCACAAAGTCCACATAATTGTCCTTCTACTACTCTGTGTCCCTTCCGTTGGCGGGTTCTCGACAGTTCGCCTCGATGTCAACCAAAAAAACTTCACTAGGGAGGAACGAAAGACATCTGGTCTCAGCCTAGGCATTGCAACTACCAGCCTACGAGGGATGATAAGTTACGTCTTCTCCATGACGTAGCCTTGTTGGACTTCATTTAGAAAAGAGTCAGTAAGTGAGGGAGATAAGTTTTATTTGCGGGGAGAATAGACGAGAGGGATAAGTAACGCAGGTCAGGCAACTCTGCTACGTAAAATATGCCCTTAAGGAATCTGCGCATTGGGGAAAGTTTGAATCGAATTAATCATTTATAGGAGTGACCTCAGAGGGTACACATTCACCCGGCCAGGTGACCGTTTATATGCGGATTATCCATATGATGAAAAACTTTGGCAGCTTTTTTATATAATTTTTTTCACCTCAGACCACAAGTAATTTGCTACTGGAGGTCCGCAGAATTTATTGTGAGGGGTTTTTTACGTCCTTCACTACGTAGTTTTTAGCTGGCATTATCGTGACTTAATGCAATTCTAAATCTTTTTAGTAACAGGGAAACAGAAAAGTTTGGAAAATTTTTCAGAGCTTGTAAACTGACCACAAGGATGGGCAATTGTTCCTATGCATGGATGGTTAAGTATCCTTTATCGTCTCCTTTACTGCTTTCTGCTTATTTTGATCCGACTCCTGAGATCCGTCTACTCGGTACAACTTGGAAGTGGATAAGGGAACTTCTTCGTCCACTTCAAAAGGTGATGAGACTTGAACTAGTATACTAATGTAAAGAAAATGCTATTCTTGCAAAAAACCAGCACAAATTTATGTCTTAAATTACCACAGAGTTAACCCATGACCTCATCATTCACAATTTCCTTACATTTCTCCCAGTGACGGTTACCAACTTTATTTGGTATTACGCCGGCACTTTTGAAAGAGGCAGTTAGAAAAATAAAACTGATTGACCAAAAATCCATTTTTGGCCTCTAGAGGCAAAAGTTCTAACAGAAGTGGAATTCGCCACGGCCCTCTGCATCGTTGCTGGTGAGGCCTACAGGGACATGAAAAGCAGTCAATGAAATGGAATTCTTCACTTTATACATAATCAAGGGTACCCTCAACTTATTTTCCGCATTTTTGCATACCAATTTGTTTTTTTTTTTGGGGGTGGGGGTAACAAGTCACCCATCGATGGAGAATTCGTGGGGATGCGATAATTACCACTGTAAAGTGGATTTCTTTCAACGTGATGCGATTACAAACTGAAATGCTTCATGGACAATAAACGGCACCCTACCTTTTAAAAAATTCACCAATTGTCATCGAAGAGTACGTTCTTTTACCTCATTTTTTAAGAAAATAGTATAACATTTGTCCTGGAGACGCACTCTGATTGGCCCATGTGGGCGATTTTCGTTACCTTTAACTTCGTCAGCCAAGACAAAAAAGAGCCCGTAAGTAAATCATTTTAAAAAAGTAACAAAGTAAATTCGCCACTGTTTGCCTGCAACAATGCCTGTCAATTATTTTTGCATGGATCCGAGTCATGTGCCTACTTTGGCATTGAAAAAGGCCATCGCCTCCACTATCAATACAGCAACACTTTTCATTCAGTGGTTTCTTTAAGAGAAAAAATTGCTCAAAGACTCACTCTTTCTCTCGTTCAATCTTTCTTTCGTAAATGTTAGATGCAAGGCTGGGTGAAACATTATTTGCCCATCTCAAATTTCCTCCCGTTTGATGGTGCGGTGACTGAACAAGTCAACACGTTTTATTAGGTGATGGAACATTTCCGAATGTGCCTGTCGATAAGTCAGCAGTCGGTGTTGTTTTGGCCAAAATGTCCGAATTAGAATGCCGAGACGGTGAAAAAGTTATACTCTCTGAGGTAGGCTTCACTGCTAAGCCTTTGCTGCCTCTTAAAAAGCAGAGGCTAAAATTAAAATTGTCTGCTTTCATTTCTCAATAAAATGCAATTCTATGTTTTATAATTATAAGAAAATACAATACTGGCAAGACAAACGTGGCATCTTTTGGAAGGTATCCAACAGTAAAGCTGATTAAGCGCCTAAAGAGGAAATTGGGAGTTGGATGTGTCCATCCAACTGATTTTAAGCGTGTGCTAGAAGAAATAAGATTCACTTCAAATACAAAGGAGGAAGCGGTAGTAAAGGGAAAATTTTTTCTGCCCCAATGAGATCAATTACTAATGTCTGCTTGTGCTTGCAAACACCGATATGACCAAGAAAGGTGAGTTTTTACGATCTTACCAAAGAAAAAAGTACTTGTACGGGGAAAAGAGGCAAAAGACTTAGGTTATTGAGCTTTGAGAGACAACGAACTCCTTGAACCGAGATACCAGACGCTGGACGGCATAGTAACCGCAACTTCTCCCGCAAATAATTAGGGCCGAGATAGTATCATTCAAGTCAGACGAAGACTTCGGGTTTTTCATGCTTATTATAAGAAATTCCTTCTTTTTTTCGCCTTATTAATTTTATGTTGCGAAACGACAATCGCTGGAGTGTTTGTGTATGGAAGAGCATTCGTTAATGAACGAAGATTCGTACAAAAGAAGGCATGAAACCTTGGGATATCTAGCGGGGTTGTAGACTTAGTTTACAGTACAGTACGGCGGTGGAGCTCTCAGTCGCCCAGAAATATGGCAAAGGAATGAATGTTTAATTATTTTTAAAGACCCTCGCATGAACGACCTTATACGCAGAGGTTTCCAGCAAACAACCAGGTAGCTATTCCTCTAACATTCCCCTACGCTTGCCACATGGCATTGTTGTGACAATTATGAATACAACGTTTGGAATTCTAGAAAGCTTGCATACACTAACTTCTAAGACATGGATAAGGTTCTAGGACATTATAGCCGTAATTACAAATCTTTCCATGTCAAATCTACTTCTTACATGTTAATTTGAATCTCATTTAAGTTTTTTAAACTGAAGTATGTCTCACCCTTCAAAAACCACTATTAGAATTGCACAATCTTCGTGTCAAACAAGTGTACCAACAATTCACAATAGCAATATGCATGTAAGGCTCCCCAATGAACATTGATTAACTGCTGAAATACCTCTTACTTTTCTTGTCCATAAAGGGAAAAAGTTTAATTGAAATCAGAAAAATTGTTGTATCAGGGTCTAGCTTACCTCTCCCCTTAACTCACAACTACCTTGATTTGAACGTGTCAAAATGAACAATGGATGCAAGTAATGAGCGAGAGGAGGTAAAGATGAAAACAGCAGATAAAGGCACACTTAATGGTTGACTGCGATTTTGTAGACCACATTATCCCAGCATCAAAGTCGACTTTCAAAAGTAATTATATTGACAAATGAGGTTAATTATTTAGGCTTCGACTTGTTTTAAACAAAACTTTGATAAAATTAAGTCAGGAATAAATGTCATCGTTGCCATTTGGTTTGGTTGTATTTAAAAAATTAGTGGCTCCACCGTGATTCCATATTTCACTTTCTGTTGCGGGTAGAGTTAAATTTGGTTCCCAATAAATCCCGTCAAATAGTTTCTTTCTCATTAGTTGTCTTTTCAGCTAGTAAATGAAATACTTTACCTCTGCATTATTTGTTATTTAACAAGGTGGCAACGCGTTTCTACTTCATAAATTTGGACGAATCAATATGTGGCTGGTTGGCGGTGGTGGTCGTGTTGCATTTGCAGAATGTCCTGCCTGTTCCCATTAGCAGGTGCTTCCCTTATACAACTTGCCAGTTTTCCTTTCCACTTCATCACTTTGCTGGTGTGACGACTTACCTCCAAAAGATTTTTTACCCCATGGGACCCTTTACCTGTTGATTCGATGAAATAATAAAAGTATACCACACATTAAAAACTTCGTGCTATGGTAACAAGGACCCTACGCCTTTTAACCATCCATCTGGGCATTTTTTGTCCTCAACCCGAACTCCTTTTGATGGCTCACCAAATTAGCCCGCTGTGGTGTTTCCTCTCCAAACCACCATGTCAATGATACAAGAATTTGCTTAAAGGTAACGCCAAATTTCGCAACACATTGTACCAATCTTAAATCTACTTTGGTTGTTGAATATTTGCATAAAATTTAAACATTTGTATGGAGCACGAATGGCCAGTTTGATTGGTGCCCATGCATATTTACTTGTGTTCGCAAAACATATTTTTTAACAAGTCTTTAAACTGCAAATTTTCTGGCGAGAAAATTATATCAGTGTATTAAAAGGGTAAAAAATTTGAGGTACTACTTATGCCATATTTGGGCATATTTGAGGTGCAAAATAGGCGTCACCATTGCTTTATTTGAAAAGGAAAAATCTGTCTTGTCTTACGAAAAGTGGTCTTCAGTAATTCTACTTTTTATAAAACCTTTAAAATGTAAGCTTTGAAATGTAGAAGCAAGGATAAGGAATAATCTTTTCTGCGTGATTTTGTGTCCTTAACCATGGCTTTTTTGAGACCTACAACCTCGCGATTGAAGGAAGTTGATATTATGGAACGAAGCAACTACGTCCGATTGTTTAGATAGCTCGCTTTACTGACTCTTGTAAAACAAATATGATTTCCATATACATACATTTTTAAGGGTAAGTGGGTCAAGTACACCAGTGCATTATATGCTCCCTTTTGATTTCCTCTCCTTTCCATCACATCTTCACATCTCGGCTGTAAAGATACAGAAGTTTGTTGTCGCCTGTTAGTATACTACTTAAATAAGGTGCACCAACACAATGCATCTGGTGTTGGAAGACATAAAAGTGCGTAGGTCAGAATTATTCTCTCTCTTTGCTAAAAATTTAAGAATTATGGGCTTCACGCTTACGTCTTGGAACCCAAGCGGCTAATCAAAAAGGGTTTGAGCCACATACATTAATAAATAGAAGCCGTCAAATAGAACACGATATAAAAATGTACCATGCATATTAACTTATACACCAGTAACCCTACTGACTGAGTTGTGATACAAGATGCCTTTTGTCCTTTTATACCATGACTTTCGTTAAGCAAAAGTGCTTGTCAGGATTACCCTTAAATCACCGACACAACCCCAAACCCACACCTCTAAGGAACGCTCTGCAAAAAAGTACGACTGCTGATTCACTAAACGTCAAGCATCAATTCCAGCTAAGATCTTTCTACTCGATACAACTTAAAAAATCGGAAGTCATATTTGCCGAGCATCGGCCAAGTCGAATTACCTCCCTATAAAGCAGAGCTGACACTTGTGAAATGAATGAAATTTAATTTAAACCTTTTTAACAGAATGAGAGAACGTTTTCTTTTCTAAGTAGCGAGTCAGCAGAATCTATAAATCCACTGTAAAGAGCCACCTTAGCAATTCATTATAGAGTTGTAAACACCCGCGCATAAACAGTAATTTATTATAGACTGATGGCACATGCTACTTATGTGAGATATGAGTAGGCCTACTGACTACTGAAGGATAATGTTAAAATGAGTTGGAATAAATGCGAAGTAGGCAATTTGGCCGCTTTTATAGAGTTCAACTTAACTGGACTTGTGAAACGCCTTCCATATTTTTCCACAGGTGGGTGGTTTTTACATGCCAACGATTATTTGTGTAAGCACAGATACTATAGAGATTCGTGAATGACTTTGAAACTTGATCGGTGGATATCTGCACTCTAAGGCGTAACCACGTAATTTTTAGGCAGTCAAAGGGTAAGGGCTCAGTAAAACCGCTAACTATAAAACATTCCAAGCCTTTCGAGGAAAGGAACCTGTAGAAAAGCCTAGAACTCGGAAACGGACACGATGAACGAAAAAGTTTCCCCCTTCGGAAAGGTGGGGGAAATGATTAAGACTAGACAAGCCTTTTCCCCAAAAGTTAGATGATTAAAGTTTATAGTTGACACCCCTAAATTTTGTACACTTTCTAGATTAACTTTTGTAAATCAGTTTACCTGGATCGAAATGAGCCTAGATTGTTCCGCCGGATCCTATTGGCTGGAAATTTGGTTCCAAAACTTCTGGCATCTGCCAAAAATAAACACACAAATTTGCATAATTAATGAGGCAGGAAGTGGGCGGGGAATTCGTTTACTACTCCATAAGAATGGGTTATTCGTGTCGTGTTCTGTGGGATACACAAACGCATTTGTGGAAAAAAAGCAATAATGTAGTGTCAAAAATAATGTCCACTTCCTTTAGAACAACGCCTCGACCATCTACTGTTGGTAGTACCACGAGTACATTACAGCCATTTGGGTGGGTGGAATGGCTAAAGCTTCACCTGTTCGGTGTCAGGAGGAAGCACCCCAAAGGTCCAAGTCTCAGCGCCGATGGCTGGGTAAGCAAATTTTTTTCTCATCCATACTGACAAATTGTTCTCTCCTTAAATTTTCCTTTTTGTTTTTAAATCAAATTTTGGAAATAAGGAGATAAATGTAGTGGTAGAAGACGAGGCGGGACGTGAACAAAACTTGTTGGATTTTCCCAGTTCCACTAATTGATATATATTGAGTGTTCTAAAAAACCCCTTTAAAAGAGTCATAAATGTCAGTGTTTAAGCTCAACTGATTTTGTCACCCGCAGAGAATGTGGGCAGTCATTCGGGTTCTCCTTATCAATCTGCACTAGGTCCTCAGTAGCTATTCAAAGTCATGCTTCAACTCCCTTTCGTAACCATGCAATTTAGGCAGCTAATCTAAAATCCTATTGGAGAATTTAAACTTCTTTTTACGGCTCATAAATCCTACAGGTAATGACCCCAACATAGAAGGTGAAGCTGGAGAAATGCGGCTTAAGTAATACAAATACGGATGAATATTTATGGCATCTTAGGCGTCCTGCAAGGCTTTGATGAGGCTGCCCGAGGCTAAATGGCGGCTGAGGTCGGGTTACCCGAACCTGTCCCAATTGGCGCATTGGACCTAATTAAAGGTGAACTGAAAAATAAGTGGGCGAATAGGGAATTGGCACCTATTTCACTTTTACTAAAATCAAACTAACAGATGGAGGCAACCCAGTCGAAGTGTGATGGACAATTCGTCCTCTAACTCAGGAGAGAGGAAGCAGTTCCCACTCCTCAGGAAGCAATCTAAGTGTCTATTTTGAATTTACATCTCTGCGAGTGTCTAAACCCACAGGCCAGACCTAAATGTGGTAGCTTAATTAAACAGAGGAGAGGAACAATAATGCCCTTCCGTTATCCTGCATCTTCAATTTCAAACATGTGCCGTTAATTAAAACAAATCTGCAGGATAATTGTCCAATCAGGTACAAGAACAAATCGTGTGTGTGTGTGTGTTGTGCGCACTTGAAGCTACCTTGTCGGTTATTTCCGCACTTCTCATTTCACCTTGAAAATAAATAGATGTCCATAATAGCCGTCCGATCCATCTCGGAGGGTGTGACGGGCCATACCACCTGTGAGAAAAGCACTTCAATCTGTCAATCCACAGCAGTCCTGGAAGGCTGTCAGTGCAAGCAGGATGCATTGGCGCCACAACGGTAAACGAACCTCAGTCAGTTAGGCGCTTGATTAAAACAAATATCGCAGCAACACAAAACTCGCTTCTAGTTACCCTTCCGTTCCGGCCATCAGAACAATGCTTAGGAATATTACTTTCTATTCCATTAATAGTAGCTCATATTCTGGATTTAATAGGGAGGTTTTTAATTATTGCGCCGTCCTTACAAGGGGTCCATTTAAACAAAGTTAAGCGAGCTGCGCGAATGATTTAGAGATTGGATAAGCATGGACAAATCCCTAATGATTAGGTCATTGGTCCCAAAAACATATCGAGAAAGGAAAGTGTGTCCGCCGCCTAGTCTGTTTTTAGGCAACAAAATAGTGCTCATTTCCTGGAGAAGCGGTTTAAATTCAATTGCGTAGCATTGGCCTCCAAAAGTCCACCTTTCTGTTAGGAGTAGTCACCGCTTCAGCCATCCACATAAGGCACCTCCCTTGCCTCATTTTTATTTGTAATATCCTATTTTTCAGTCAAAATCAGCCTCTCTTACCACCTCCTGCTTCGTAGTTGCCGCCACCCATCTGTGCAGTCGCAAGTTGCATGTGTTGGCAAAATCGCCTTGATGAAGGTTGATCTACAGCCCACTACGCAACCAATTTAATCCTTTTAGAATGCAGGTTGAAAAATCGCGTCTCGAAATTTGTGCATGATTATTAACTCGCCTCGGAGGGAAAAAAAGAATCAGAATTTAGCGAATCTAAGGCCCAAGTGAACAGTTGCTTCCAGCAGACTGAATTCGTGAATGATTTGCATTGGATGATGTGGAATGTAGCGCCTGATGAAGCGCTTTTTGATATTGTGATAAAGGAGATGCTTTTGATTCGGCTTCAACATTTCGGCATGTGATCTAACGAAGATGGAGAAGGCTAATCCCCTTATGGCTTTTTGAGGTACTGGAGAGACAAATCCGGTAGCTCGAAATTCGTTTTCCTCCTAGTACTATCCAAGGACTGCGAAAAATTCTTGTCCCCTACTTTGCGTCGGCGATGATTTAAGTTCTTTGAGTCACTTTCTAATCTAAGTTAGTTTAATTTTACTTAATAATTTTGACACTTTAAGTGACTACTAGCACAGAAATTGCTTTGAAATAATTTTGTACCTCTTAAACAAGATAGAGCGACTCAATATAGCATCCCGCCGAGTCACCCCTAAAGGGTGTCCGGGTGGCCTTGAGGCCGAGATTGTACAAGAATTGGCGGGAATTAAAGAGTCTGCGCAATTAAAAGAAAACATTTAAATAAACGGCAATTCATGAAAATGCACCCAATTGGGTGGATATCTCAAACCCTAATTAGTAAAAGATCTGGGAAAAATCTATTTAACAATAAATACGCTTATTTTAGGGCCGCCTTTCTCAACAGCTTGTCAATCAGTCAGTGAGCCAACTAGCCAAAATGCAAGACCTGTTGTGATGGACTATGTGGGAGAAGTAAGGAACAAGAAATAGGCAGTCTTTGAAGGCCATTATTTTCCTTATCTGTTAATGCATGTGGGTGGTACCCATTTGCTTGGCATCTCAACTTCCCCGAATTGTCAAGTTGATGCAGTTCGAGATGAAGTGAGCCTTAATAGAAGTCTGCAACTAATTAATCTCAACCCCATGGAGAAATAAATGCTCTTTTAGAATTATTCATCTGGAGATTCACTGTGTTTAACTGCTGGACCTTCAATTGGGGAAACACCTTGTCAGGAAGCATCTGCAGCTTCAGGACTGAAAGCCAAGCTCTGCTCAAGAGGCAGAAAGTGCTCGAAATGTATACAGCAGGTCAATTCAGCGCCCACTTTAATGCTGTGGAGATGGGGTGAAAAGAAGAGGAGAGTTTTAGAGGGGAGAAAGGTGGCATGTATCCTTTTGTCTGCTTCACCCATCCGTCTGTCTGCCCACTTGTCTGTCTGTCTACCACTATGTGCCCATTGAATCTATCCTTTACAAGTTATGCAAGGAAACAAAGGCGCCTACTTCACAAATGCCTAGAAGTTACAAAGGGCTCATTGTAACAAGATAGCCGAAATGGCAAAAACATTTTGGTCGTGTGATAGTTCACATAAATTTATTCATTTTAGGCTGTTTTGGTGCCACCCAGCAAAAAGATACTTATTTCAACAAAATATTTCTCTTACACAAGCGCTTTGGTCGGTACAGCTCATTATTTCACCATCGTAGTATCAGACCGTTTTTATTCGTGTCATTTCAGTCAACAGCCTATCAGGTTTTCCAGACATTTCTCAACAACCATGTGTTCATACTTTCACGTTTTTAGAGAAGGCTTGAAAGCTATGATTAGGTGCGCTACGCAAAACCTTTTTTACAACTGTTGTGGCGAATCAGTGAAGACATTTTAGTTTTTTTTGCTCATTCCTGATTAATGAGTAAATCAGGTGGTTCTTAGGAGGAAGGGAGGGAGGGAGGGAGGGAGGTTTTGACGCCACTTCGTCTGTAAATTCGCTTCTAGAGCTTCTACTTCCCTCTCACAACTCATTTGTCCCTAAAACAAAACGAAATTGCCTCGTTCAAGACAGCAGCATTGCATGTCAAATCCATCCACTGTTGCTCCATGGCATGAGTCGATTTGCATGGACTCGTATTCTCAATCAACAATACTCTTGCACTATTTAAAGGCACTTTTTGTTATCTTTGTTTCTTAGGAGGGCTTTCAGCTTTCTGCTTGTGCGACAAACTGTTTTGCTAGTAGGCAAGAAAGGAGGATGATTCAAAACACAAGGAATCACTAAAGAGTCCACCAAACAAACTAGTCCGGAAATAGCTAATTTTAAGGTGGGAGAGTGTTCACTGGTGACAAGGTATGATTACATCTCGAAATAAAGAAAACTGGATGTCAGCACTGTGTTAATTTGAAGTACAATGAGTGGTTTCAAGTTCCTTAAATTTCTATCTTTTCAAGTGACCTTGAAGAAATAAAATGCATCTTAATAGGACACTAACCAATCAGAGAAGAGCAAGGGGTAGAGACTCTTTTGATTTTTGTAGCGAATTAAAATTCATAACGGAGGAAATATTGCAACAAGAGCCTTCTCAGGAGTTGTGGCATCCCTAAAACCTGCAAATGTGGTTGCCTAGGCACCGTGAGCAGGACCAATTCCCGATACAATAAGGCCCATTAAAAGGCCACCCTCACCAGTGTCATAGAGGCTGCCCAGGCAGGGCTGACTGTTTTCCCCCATCAATCAACTAACCGAAGGCGTCTGACAAGCGGTGGCAAAACCTATGGCCGTGGTGATACCTTCAGAGACTCTGTCGAACCGCGTAGCGGTAGCATTGACACAAGGCAGGGGCAATCGATTGCGCAAATGTCACTACCAGCACTTGACAAGCTGTCAAACAATGAAAGAAATTTCAGTAGTACAAGTAAAACAAAAAAGGCTGTTTTCATTCCTCTATTTATCCTTAACCAGTCCTGAAGATGTCTTGAATTCTACTGGCCAAATGACGATCCATTAAAGCACTACTTTAAAGCGACATTTTATTTTGTCCCCTACTTTAATAAAAAACCCAATTATTTAAGTAAACAATATTTTATTATTGGAAAGAGCTGCACGAAATACTTTGACACATGGATAAAATCTGAAATTCTTTTTTAAAAGTACTAATGAAGTCGCTATTGCCGCATGAGGAGAGAAGACAATTGCGCCAGTGTGTTCCCAGGTTAAACGCGTAAACAATGGAACTGTCATTGTCAAACAATCTTCTGCCCAATTAACAGTTAAAAATCACCACTTCGTCTCCAAAAGGCTATGCCTCCTCCGTGTTTGTGTGTGTGGCAGAGTGCAAATGGAATGGTTCAAGATGAGGTTCTTGCTAAAGGCCAAACAACCAAAACTGCAGTTCGTCTTCTTCACCTCCAAACAACATAATGAGGGAAGGAAAAACTGCATGACCTCAGGACTCACCTCATACCTCGGCAGTAGTAGGAAAAGGAGGGAGGGCGTGTAGCCTCACCTCATACTGCCTTAGATCATATTTGCCTGAGTGATGGCTATCACCTTACCTTGGCAGTGGGCGATCATACACGAAAGGGGATTGACACATTAGAGATAAGAATGAGGTGAAAAAGGCCAAGTTTCCTAGGGTTTTAATGGCAAAACTTTTTATTGCTAGGATAGATTTGATTAAGCTTTTGCCCGAATCAGGAAAGAACTATTTATCATAATGGTGATTTTCTCAACAAAAGTTTTTGTGGTTGCCAACAATTCGTCTTTGAAGCAATAACACATGAACTTGCAAGAATGCTACGCAAGTGTTCGATTTTGTTAAAAACCCTTGAGAAAGGTCTTCTTCCATAAACAGTACACCTCTCAACTATCCCGAGTCAACCACCTATACCTCATGATTGGCAGTTCGGGCTGACGATTTGCGATTTCCTGCGGTGGGCTTCCACTAGTAGCACAACTTCAGTATTCCAAGGAAGATGGTAGATTAAGAAGGGGACATTAAGGGGAATCAATCAGCAGTTGAACTTCGAAAATTAGGATTGTACATTGAAGCTTCGGAAGCTTCAGGTATTGCATTCGGTGAAGTTACTTTACCCTTCTTAGCATTTCATTGTTGTATCGTGTTTAACAAGTGGCTAGTGTGTACAAAAGAGTAGACTTTATTCCAAAACAAGTGGGAACATTGAATGCAAAGTGTGGAATTTGTCTATTGTGGGGAGCTCCCATAACCTATTCACTGTCACCATCGCATAAATTTGATGCCTCCACCTGCGTCACGAATGTGTGACATATGTTACTTGCCAGTTTGTATATCACCGCCGAATAAAGCCGTGTGAATTCCTAGATAACAAAGGGAAAACAAGCATAAAAAGCCTTTTTAAAAGTATCGTATTTGTTAATTAGACACGAATCTACCAAATCGAGCTCTGCTGCCACGTGATAACCTCAAACAACAACTTGACGAGAGGTTGCTGAAGCTTTGTTATCAAATTCAGTCAAATCTGAGGGGCAGACAAGCTCAAATCTCGCCTAGTAATCTACGAGGGTGACTTGAAAAGGAGAGGGAAAAGTAGTAGGGAGCACAATAATGCATACCATACTGATTAACAATAAATGAGTTCTGAAAATAATTTGTATCACAAAATAGAACATAAAAGACAAGTAAGCACTTAGTCCGTTGTGTTTGATTTGGCCTTGGTGGCTCTTTTAATGGAGGCGCCAAATTAAAGTAGAGCACGACACGCAATAACCACTTATGAGCCTTTAACATTCGAAATTGGTATGCACGCAATCTACTGAAGACCTACCTGTACTCTTACCTCTTCTACGCCTAATTACAGGGTGCATTTTAACAGTGACATTTAAAGTACATAGAATTTTAAGTCATGAAAAGGTTAGAGTATCAATGAAACACACACTTTTAATGAGGAAAACATCCGATGCTCTTCGTTCAGATCGGTTGACCTTGGATCAGGAATGTTGTAACACAGCAACTTTTGTTTCCGTGGTGGACCCAACTATGCAAACCAGTCAAACTCATGACATTCGGGTTGTCATCTTAGTGTATCATCTTATCAACCATTTAGGCTCGCAGGACATCTAACCTGAGTAAACGACAATCCTGAATTCAATGGCTGAATACCAAAATTTCCTCGAGGGAGAACATCTAATAAATATGGAGAGACT